AAAGGAAAGGAAAGGGGATCACTATCTATCTATCTATCTATCTATCTATCTATCTATCTATGCCTCATTTGTTGGTCAGCTTGTTTGTTTGTTTGTTTGTTTGTACATCTCATCTCATCGCATCTGCTTTCTTTTTTCTTATCATATACGTATATAACATACCATACCAAACCATAGCAGAGGGGATGATTGATTGATTAATATCAACCAAGCTTTCACTCGCTCACCATTATCACTCAACAAGCTTCCTTCCTTCCTTCCTTCCCAGAATGAATCTAGTAGCATATATAGTAAGGCCCAAAATACACATATTACCAACCATCTCATCTTCATTCATGACTTCATACACATACCAACCATCTTATCTTGATTGATTCAACCCAACCCTCAATCTCCATCTCCTTCTCCTTGTGCTGCCTGCCTACAAACTATAATAGTAATACTCTCTCTCTCTCTCTCTTTTCTTTTAACCATGCTCGCGTGTGGTGTGCGCTTCAAACCATCCTGTCCTGCAGCAGACCTCACTCAGTAAACCAGGCAGACGCAGGGAAATCATTTGTCTTCTGATAACTGGCAAGTATATACTCTTATATTACACTTGATTTCTTCTTCAGATAAAGAAGACTAACTCAGTAATCCTTCACCTTGTATGAAAGTGATGATTGTCACTCAGTAATCCTTTGCTGTTTAAATTGTTTGATGGCTCTGAAGGATACAGGTTACCAGCTTAACATCGTATACCTTATACAATGCCAATGAGATTATAAGACAGACGTGCCAATGCCGTCCTATCCTATCTTCAGGACAGGAGATTGGAGAAAAACTATCAGAAAGCGGAGGCAGGTTGGGTTACCCGTCGCTCGCTTAACAAAGAACTCGTACAGGACAGGATGTAAGAAAATTATGGGAAGATCAAGCCATTCTGTGCTAACACCCACAGGGTCGGCCCATTAATATATTTTTCAATATTCAAAAATAAATGCGGGTAGCAAGAATCCAACTCATTGCCAAGTTGTATTCATACAACTGGGAGAGGTGTACAGACCGCAAGCAACTTTTGTTATTCTTATGTTAAACAACTCGTGAACAACCTGTGTACCCATGCGTTCTACAAATGTTTCTCGGCCGCAGCCGTGCCCTCAGACGTGACTTAAACAAAAAAGGCAACGCCTTGTTTTATTTATTTATGGTTTTGTCTAGCCATTTTTTCTACTTTTTTTTTCTCGATCTCCTTCTCTTTTTTTCTTTTTATTTTCTTTTCCTTTCTAAAATTCACAATTTTTTCTAAAATCCTGAAATTTTCATAAATTCGTGAACTGTGTTTCAAGTCCGTGTCTAATTTCTTAAACTTGTTAACTTTTTATCAGATCAGCGATTTTTTTTTCAAATACATAAACGATTTCAAGATCCACGAACTTGTCTCAATTTTTACAATTTTTTTTCTAAAACCCGTGATTTTTCTCCAAAAACTCGTGCGAACAATCTATGTCCGAGCGAGAGGAAAGACGAACGAGAAGAAAATACTGATCGGACGTGACCCAATTTGTGTTTGGTGTCCGAATTCGTTTAAAATTTTCGTGAAGTGGTAGGATGACAATGCCCAGTTGCCTGCAAAATTTGAGTATATTTAATGAAAGTCCACAAGTACCTCATCTACAACATAGAGGTTTCGGTTAAGTCGAAAGAGTCCGTTCCGTAGCACTTTTATACACATTGAACAACGTAAAGAGTAATAAAGAAATTGAATAAAGCCGGTGTGTCGTACAAACTCGGTAACATGGAAGAGGAAGAAGAAGAGAATGTGTTGATAGATTTCCTAAAAAAGAGTTCCCTTACGATGATGTGCACTGGCACAAAGGGTGGCGAGAACCATGGCTTGAAAAGAATTCCCTAACTGTTGATACCAGGCCGGTTTTCCAGTCTGGAACCTTTTAGAAGGTTACTCATTTTTTTTTGAAAATCGCAATGTTACAAAATGTTCACCATATTTATTTATTTATTCATATTTTTCAAAAAAGTTTGAAAATATCAAAAAAAATGGTTGCATTTTCAGAAAAAAAATCAGACTTTTAAAATTGTTTGTGTTTTCAAATATTATTCAGAATTTCAACAAAAAATCTCGGTTTTCAAAATTTATCCAGAGTTTAAAACCTGCTCTACTTTTCGGAAAATTTGTATGCATGTTAAAAATCAATTTTGAATTTCTTTTGCGTTTAAAAAAGTCTTCAAAATTCTAAAAAATTGTCCAGTTATGTCGCTGTTAATAGTCTTAATACACGACGCTGCTCCTTTTGTCATTATATAGGTTGGTTAGTCTAGTGGTTAGCCGCTGTTTATTTTCGCGGGTTGTCTTAAAAATTTTTGGCGCCGGCGTATTTTGAAAAAAAGACCATCATACCCTTTATTATGAAGGGATATGGAGAGATCTCCTCCATTGATGTGGTTAGGGGTTGTACTGAAGCGAAAGTGTTAATTTATTTACTGGTTTCCTGACATCATCTGTTTTGGTTGCCAGAGTACTGGCATTTATTTTCATCTGAGTACACATGAGTCTGAAGGCGACTCGGGACCTATTTATACCGTACCTACCCATGGAGGAAGGTTGAGCATTTGCTAGCTGTCCCTTGTGTAGGTTAGGTTCCTTTGACCGTGTGCGAGTGGTTTAAGGAGTACTGTATGAGCCAATCGCGCCTGGCAAACAGGATGTGGAGTGCTATGCCTGCCGCTCTCACCACACTATTAGTTTCAGTTTGCATATTATGGTGTTTTACTTGAGTGCAGTAGTATGTTGGGGTATTTCTGGCATATATTTTGGGCCCAGTGGTGATTTTCATTTTTTTTTTTATGTTTGGTAACTGAGTGTCTTTCGAGGGAAATGGGTTTTCCCTCTTCCTACATGCTATTTATGGTCATGTGACGATATTTACAACATTTCAATTTATATTTGTGGACACCTAGGGTGTGTTTGAAGGGTATATATATAACACGCAGACTTTGGTCAGTTTGGGAAGAAAGATGATTGAATTACCAAGTTTCATTTTGAGTATTAATTTGCACCAGTTGCCAAGTGAACCCTGTATTGTACGAGTATGTACGTCCTACATGTGTGCATAGATAGATACATGATTTGCTATGATTTTTTCAAGTCAAACATTTATAACTTTGCCCAAAAAATTATGATAGCTTTTTTTTCTTCGAAACGAAGGCAAAGATTGCCTCATCTATTAATTAAACATAAGAGAATTGCCCAGTTCATTACGGAAAACCGGGCAAAAACCGGAACAACAAGGGCCAAGCCCACTCCCATAGACTGAAACACACAGGGCAAAGCCCACCCTTGTCGACGACATGTCGACCTGCTGCCAGGTGACGCAGCTCCGACTCTGACGTAGAACTCAGAAAAACAAAACCAGGCACGACTAGCGCCACGGAAGATCGCCGAACGGGCCACCTACAGCAAGTCTTCGTACACCACAGGGCCCCGCCGCCGCAGCTTCGACTCCACAGCAACAAACAAACCGAGGCAATACCGTGGACACGCCGGAGAAGAGCCGACTACCGCAACCATTGCCGCATCGCCGACATCGTTCCCACCATCACCGTTGACATATAAGTCTAGTCGCCACAGTGATTCTCTCGGGGCCGCCGCCCCGACATCCACCGCTCTGTCGCACCCAGCGCAATCAACCGGCACCGCCTTCCAGGGCCTCCGCCCCGACATACCACCGCTTCCCTCGAGCAGCAACGCCGCACACAACCGAGCTGCCCGCAACCCACGCTGCTCAGGGAAACCGCTCGCAGACCACGAATGTCGCACCACATCCGGAGCCGCCTCCCCGACGTGAAGTCAGACCGCCCCCTCTGGGGCGCCTCGACCGAGCCGACACCCCTACCGCCCAAGCGGGACAAGGATGCCACCCAACCAATGTCGAGATAGATCCCCACCTCATAGAGCTGCCACTCACATTGTTCCCGAGATCGCCATCTTGGCGCACAATCAGAAACCACCCGGAGCCGCCACCCCAACGTCCACTGTCCCCGACGACAAGGAGATCCGTGCAAACTGCAGTATGCCGACTCTCCAAGGTGATGCCTCAAAGAAGGAAACAACGTAGCCGCCGTCATCGCCCGCTTCGACCATCCAAAGCTAGAGATTTATCCCGGAGAGTCGTGTAATGGAGCTCCACGGCAACGCCTTCAAGAAAGGGAACGACGCCATGGCGCCGCCGTTGCCGGCACCGACCCAAAGTTAGGGCTGGACTTTCGCCCATAGCTCCACCACATCTTCGAATCCGAGCAATTCATGATCCACTGCTCGGTGCGGAGATTCCTTGAAGCAACGACGAAGTTGCGACACATGGCAGTCGTCGTGGATATGAGAGAATTGCGGCGGCAAGTCCAATTTATATGACACCTGACCACGTCTAGCAATAATGCAGAAAGGGCCAATGTAGCCTTGTCCTTGATTCCGAAGCAGTGAGTGCCCTTCATAGGAGTGACATGCAGATAAGCTTGATCACCAGGTTGATAAGTCAAACCCCATCGTTTGCGATCCTAATTGCTCTTCTGGCGGTCTTGAGCCGCCTTGAGATTTTCTCGGACAATACGGACTTGCTCTTCAGCGTGTTGGATAATATTCGATAGCATGTACTGTTTGAATACGATTACCTCATTAAACATGACGGTGAGCATACTAATTATGCAGCACGGGACAGGTGAGAGAAAGTGAGGGGGAAAAGGAGGCAAATGTTTTTATACAACCTGTAAAGCACGTTGAAACTCTGCAGGTGCAAGAAAATACGACGTACTATCTGTAACACAGTTACAAATTTGGTAAAAAAAATGAAGTTCTTTGACACACGGTTACAAATGCAGCATACAAGCGTACTGCCTCCTTAGAAATACGGTTACAAATGCAGTGCACAAACAATCGGCCACCTTAGAAATGCAGTTTCAAATTTTCTCCTAACCAAAAGACACCTCCTTAAGGATTAATTTTGTCAAACATCTTGCACCTTACCAGATCGACTCAGTATGTGTAGTTGCCCAGCTACCTCCATCATTGTTGGTCTTTGTTCTACATCAAGGCTAAGGCATTCCATGGCCATACCTGCTAGACTATCACGAAGCTCTAAATCTTCTGCTATTGCAATTTCCTTGTCAAAAAGTTCGGTCGCTTTCTTCTGTTCCTTATGGGCTTCAAGGAAACTCTTTACCAAGCTATTATTCTCAGAGTGTATGGCCCTCCTGCCACTGATAAGCTCCAGGATCACAACTCCAAAACTGTAGACATCACTTTTTTCGGTTAGTAGGCCTTCTTGTAGATATACCGGATCCATATAGTTTATGTCGCCGATGATTGATGCAGTGTGTTCCTTGTCTCTCGCAAGCAATCTGGATATGCCGAAGTCTGAAATCTTGGCTATAAAGTTATCATCCAAGAGTATATTTGCTGGTTTGACATCACCGTGTAGAATTCTAGTGTTTGCTTGTGAGTGCATATAAGCTAGACCATCCGCTGACTGTGCAGCGATACTTAAACGTGCATCCAAGTTGAGAGCCGCCTTGTTATTCTTGTTGTGAAGAATGTCATGGAGGCTACCTTGGGAGATAAACTCGTAGACCAGTATGGGGGCTTCAACTTCAAGGCAACAACCAATGAGCCTAACAATGTTCTTGTGGATGACTTGAGATTGGATGATGACTTCATTTGCAAATTGTTCATTCTCTCGCACGCTACCATTGATCGGCTTCTTTATTGCAACTTCTTTATTGTCAAGAAGGCCCTTGTAAACTTCACCAAATCCACCTTTTCCAATTATGTTGTTATTCTTTAAAATTGGCTTGAGCTCCCCCTTTTAGAAAATTTTAATTCCTTTTGCTTTCTCTAATACTGGGCCGCCGTTCTTTTTGTAGAATTCTTTTGTCTTCTTTTTCTCTTTGCGAAGAATAACAGTAAACCACAGAATCACCATGAGAAGAATGCCACCTATTGCACCTAGATGGACAAGAAACAAACTTAGTTTATATAACTAAATTCACAATTACAAATCTAGCAGAAAGTTTTAGCATAAGAATTAAATAGTTTCTTTTGTTCATCAACTTGGAATCTAGAACAAATTATCACTAGAACTATCAGAAGAAGAAGAAGAAGAATCTAAATCAAGACAGCCAAGGGGTTGAAACTCTGGAGAAATTAAGTCTGCAAAACATAAGGAAATCATGTACGACACTTAAATTACAGTCAGGTCTTTTATAGAAATTAAGATGCACAACCGACCGACTGAAAATACTTTGAATCAAGTATACTAGGAAACATGCCCGTTCATTGCAACGGAGCCCCTCGCTGTACATCTTTGTGCTGCTGCTTGTTTTGCCAATCACCTTTCCACAGCACGTCGGTACAGTCAAACTGCTTGAGCGTGTGACACAGAGCTGTCAATGGAGAGCTCGTGGCGAAGGCGGGATTCGAGCACGTGATCCAATGCAGGCCTCCACCGTGCAACGCTTGTGTCGGATGGCGTCGGAGGGAGATGCAAGTACATGCGTGTGCAGATGGTGCTGCCGCTCCACCTCATCGAAGCCGGTGCGCACCGCCTCCCCTCGTCACAGGTGCCGCCTCCTCCCTCTGCCACCTTGGAACCGCTTCCGATCCGCAGAACCATGGCATGAAATTCCCATGCGAGTGTGATTCTTGCGTTGAGCGAGATCGACGTGATGGCGGCGTCGGCCTCCTCAGAGCTAATGGCGTGAAGGAAGGGCCGCAGTGAGGATGGGGCGCGGTGGAAGCCAGGTCCATCGTAATTCTAACGGAACAACGGCTCGGGAGGACTATATATGTATATATGGAGATGTTGTGTGCAGCGGAAAGAAGAACCAATCAAGGCAGGAGACGATATTGGATGCCGATTCAATCCGGGAAGATTTCCTTTCTGGTCTGTTCAATTGGGCTTGTACCGTGAAGGACGAAAAAGATGCAGATGGATGACGTATGAAGAAAAGGAGCGACGGACGATAAATCCTTTTAAATCTCAGTTGTCAATCTTTATGGTTAGCACAAAATTAACGAATATAAAAGGGTGATGGAAGGAGAAGAAAGAAGTCTTCCTCCCTTTATTATTAGGTATAGATATGCGGCAAGAGACGTACAATCAATGCCTATGTCATACATGTGTTTCTATGTTGATGATTTAGATGGAAGCAAGTTCCTGGTTGAAAACAGAATTGAAGGTGAATGATCGATTTAATTAGGTGAGACCAAATAAATATTGCTTTGTAGTTTGGATTGCAGACCAACCGTTTGCGTGGTGCCTACAACCAAAGGGTGTTGATTCTACTGGAACAGATCTCACCTCATGTGCTGTGTACTCATTTTTCTTGCACCCTGAGCGCCTTTCATTTTTTTGAAAAAACAACAACAAAAATACTCACAGTGCTTTCATTGCAGTGGTAGCTTAGTACGTACCCACAGTCGCCTTTGCTGTTGCTCTAGTGAATACATCTGTGCAGGTTCCCCCTTTGCCGTCGTCTTTCATTCCGAATTTGCACGGACAGTCATAGCCTCCGGGCCTGTTTTTGCAGATCCCGCCATTTGAGCATGGATTCTGGAGGAGCTTGCACTCATCAATGTCTGCAGAATCAACACAACACTTGGGGGAGTTAACGAATTAATTGGTAAGGACAATTTCTTGTATGTATGTATGTATGTATGTATGTATGCATGTATGTACTCATATGTATGTATGTGTGTATGTACCTTGGCATCCGTGAGCGATGTAAGGGTTGCCAGTGTAATTGTCCCAGCACTTGCAGACATAGCCTGGAGTATATGCTGTTGCGTTGGCACAAGAGCTGTTGCCGCTGACGCAGGCGTAGTGCGGAGGCGGCGGCTGTCCTTCCGCCGGACAGGAAGTGTTCCCGGCGGCGAAATCAAGCGCCAAGGCGACGCCCCGGGGGAACCTTTTGAGTAGCGTCTTGTCGCCGTACATGTCGGGCGTAGAGAAGTTGTACCATGCATGACTTGTCCACCAGCATGGCGTAGGAGCACGGATTGGTTTCCCACCTCAAGTTGTCGTCCACGGGGTTGACTGAGACATTGAAAACCCTGCCGGAGCCCTGGTCGGCCGGGAGGGTCTGCTCGCAGCAGCTCCACCCCGTGCACGACCCGTTGCTCGCGAGCGGTGTGCGGAGGTAATCTTGTGCACGGCAAGTGAAAGGGCTTAGGAAGGTAAACAGAGAGCATCTCATTTGAGCCTCGGTTTTCAAGCCGACGCCTATGAGAACATTACGCGTCAACGACACGGCGAACGGCGTGTAGGAGAAATCGATGTGCTGATCCCTGAACAAGGACTCGTTGTGATTTGTGTTGCAGCGGTACGCGATCGGGGCGTACACTCGTGCCTCGCCCGTGGCGACTGATATGCTCACCAGCTCCAACGACGACGACCACGAAGAATCACTGTAGATCTGGGAGCCGTTGAATCTTGTGCTGCCAGCAAGGAAGGCGCGAGGGGGTTCCGAATGGAAGGAGTTGTTGCACAAGACCTGGAAGCCCTCGCGGAAGCAGCCGACGCCGACGCCGATGCCGAAGGGGAAGGGGATGTCCATGTCGCCGCACTTGTGGAGGCAACCCCCTTGAGCTTGGGCCGCGGCGGCAAGGATGAGTAGTAGGACTGGCGGCAGCAGCAGCAGCAGCTGGTGCTGGTGGGAATGGAATTGCGTGGTGGTCATGGTGCTCTACTTACTACCTTTACGTATCAGGGGTCAGGGGTATGAAATGGAACTAGCTAGAGATGAAGATGAACGAATGCCAAAGGAATCAACAACTTCCTTGTATGCATTGGTCGGGGTCGGGGCCGGGGGTATCGAACTAGCTAGGGATAGGGATGAAGATGAATGAATGTCAAGGGAGTTATATCATACACGCCGGGCCAGGCCACGTGCTCCTCATCAGAAAGAGAATAATGAAAAGCCGGGCCACCCACGAGACTTTAAGGCTGGTCATAGTGTGGAGTAACTTAGACTACTAACATGCATATCTTACTAGTCTATGTTACTACCTCTATAGTGCATACATTGTTTTATTTATTGCCATGGGTGACACATAGTAGCATCACATTTATTATGTTACGGTATCTACCTATGTTACTATAACCATCTCTTTCTTCTTTAATTGTCTGTCACATAAGCATGTTTACGAATTCCAAGTACATGATACTACTTATGTTACCCCACCATGGCCAGCCTAATTAAACCTCTCACTTAATAATTACCGTCCGTCATCCCAAAACTATGCTAGCTAGTATTGGCCAACACAAATCAGAGTTAGAAAATTAATATGTTGGGGACAAAACTAACTCTCTATCCTTGACCTTGAACATGCATGGTAATACTACCTCCGTTTCAGTTTACAAGTCCTGCGCGTATACCTAGGTTATCAATTTTATCACCCTAATATAAATTATATAACACAAAAATTATATCTTTTGAAAGTAGAAACTCCAAAGTTTATGTTGGTATATTTTTTGTAATATATGACTTGTATTAGGTTGGTCAAATTGACGACTTAGGGGTACGCACACGCCCTGTAAACTGAGAGAGAGGTAGTACCTGCACAAGCGCAACTAGTAGTTTTGGCATGCATGTTTACTTAAATTTATATTGCACTAGATGATGATTGTAAAAATCTTGTTATTGGATAAATCAAAATGACCGATTTGTTGAATAAACACTCACACGTTGGCACCCTAGGTACGTGAAAACTAAGTTGAATTCATTGAGGCGATTAGAATTCAGAGCCACTACGTCTGTTGAGGACATTTTCACTGTTTTGACCCATTATTAAAACTTTAGCACAATTTGACCCTAGTTTGAAACTTTTTTCGGATCTGACTCATTTCGAGACGCCAACAGTTATGGCGTTTTGGTTAGATGGAGGACGCCATAGTCTGTGGCGTTTAGCTCTGGCCCACGGTCCTATGCATGTATCCACACACACACCTCGGTTCCGAGCGGCTGCTAGTATTCATACATACATGCATGCGTAATATATACGCGCGCCTAGCTCTTTTCTGGTCCTAGCTTGGCCTAGCACAGTACTTGCGTGCGAGGCCGGCCGGAATCGATCCATCAACCTAAGCCTCGTTTAGTCTCATCCCGCTGGTGCGCTTCACCATAAGATGTGAAAAAGTGCATATGGTTCAGTCAGGCTCCCCAAAGGTCTGGTCACAAAATTCTGACCAACCACATCCTTTATATCAGCCGTCCGGACTGACCGACACATTCATATCTAGTCTAAATCTGGATGGACATAAGAAGATCCGGAAGGGTCGGATCTGACACACTCTGGCCCATCCAATCTAATTGTACGCATGTTAGGGCATCTCTAATGTCGACATGTAAGCTCCTCGCAATTGTCTGAATCGCGCGGTCTGGACCACGGTACGCCGACCTGTATCGGTCCGCAGGGCGGTCCAGTCGTGATTTCTCTCGCAAATCAAAGACAAATGTGAGGAAGGTTTGCGGGAGTTTGGATCGATCCCAAGCCCGCTTATGACCGCCCTGGCCCACCAAAAACTCCTTCCCCCTCACGCGCGTTTTCAGTCAGCGCCGCTTCAGGGAGTCATCGCCCGTATTCATGCCCGGCCAGAGCGGGAACGACCCCTCACTGGCACCGGCAATTAAGCGGCACGCCACCCTCCTCTTCCTCCGTGACACCCTCCTCCTCCGCTCCACCCTCACCGGTGCATTGCACCATGACCATCGGCGAGACCCGTGCCCATTATATGGACATGGTGTGCGAGGAGACGGAGGACTAGTTCTAGGAGGCGCAGGCCGACGCCAGCTACAACCACAACCTACTCCAGGAGCATCTGTAGGCGGAGGAGCAAGTCATCGCCGGCAGGGCGGTCGCACCGGACGTGGACCTGGCGGAGCAGGAGCGCTGGTCGAGTCCTACCGCTCCGCCCGCGAGATCCGCTTCACCCGCTGGTGGTACCGGCAGCGGGTGGCAGAGGTGTAGGCCGCCGGCAAGCAGTGCAGCAACGAGGCGGCAAGGCGTTGTTCAGCGACACCGGCGATGAGGAGGCCGCGCCCCGGCGCCACGACCGCGAAGAAGCCGACATGTCTGCGGTTGTTGCCGGCAGCGAGGAAGAGTAGTGCATGGTAGGTCGCCGCCACTCGTGTCCCAGGAAGGCCATCGTTCCTTCCCTCCCGTCGACGCCAAGCTTGGTGGGCTGAGCATCTTCGGCCGATTAGTCACTTGGTGGCGACGTGGAGGCGGGCAGCTTCAGTTCCCGGGCCCCGGAGGTGGCGATCATTTAGATTAGGTATTAATTATACTCCAGAGCCCGTCTAGCACTGCTTTGAAGTATTTGTAATGAAATCTGTCATGTTTACATCAAATTCGATGTGTTTATATGAAATCCGGACGTGGACCTGGCGAAGCAGGAGGTGCTTTAATGCGGATGAGGATGAATATATATGAGATTGGATGGGCCAGAGTGTGTCGGATCCGACCCTTTCGGATCTTCTTATGTCCATCCAGATTTAGACTAGATATGAACGTGTCGGTTAGTCCGGACGGCCAATATAAAGGATGTGGTTCGTCAGAATTTTGTGACCAGACCTTTGAGGAGCCTGGCTAGACCATATGCACTTTTTCACATCTTATGGTGAAGCGCACCAGCGGGATGAGATTAAACGAGGCTTAGGTTGATGGATCGATTCCGGCCGGCCTCGCACGCAAGTACTGTGCTAGGCTAAGCTAGGACCAGAAAAGAGCTAGGTAGGGCAACGATTGCTTTGTTTCCGACGGGCGCGCGTATGTATATATTACGCATGCACGCGCGTGCATGTATGTATGAAGACCAGCAGCCGCTCCGAACGCATAGGACCGCAGGCCAGGGCTAAACGCCACAGACGATGGCGTCCTCCATCTAACCAAAACGCCATGCTTGCTGGCGTCTCGGAATAGGTCAGATCCGAAAAAAATTTAAACTAGGACTAAAGTTTTGATAATGGGTCAAAACAGTAAAAAAGTCCTCTGTTGATCTCTTGTTAAACAAAACCACTGCGCCGCCTATAGAATAGAATAGAATAGAATAGAATAGATTGGCGAGAGAGAGTGAGCCGTAAAAGCACAAGCTAGACTCTTGGACAGGCTGCATGTGACATATATATACCAGCCGTACTAGCTAGTGCAGCTATTCTGGAGAGGAGTAGACCCAAAGATCTATCTTATGTGTAGTGTAGTGTAGTGTAGCAGCCTAGTCTAGTAAAGTTTACGTAGGGACGGCCGGGCGTGCTATTTTCCACGTCGTCGGTCGTCGGTGGGAAGCAAAACAAGTTAGATTTATATTTATCCAAAATGAACATCTTGTTCTCCCCCTTCCTTCCTTGAAGGAAGAGCAGCAGTACGTGCACAGCAAAGGCAACCACGACTGTGTATCCTGTCTCATCGACGACACAGCCAGCAAACTAAAGGCACGCGCGACGTGCTAGCAGGCCGGGGTCCATGCATAGATTCGGGAGCCATGATGCTTTGCCTGATTCATTCATTTCTGCCAACTTTTTTTTTCCTAGCTACTCCCTCCGTTCCAAAATAGATGACCCAACTTTGTACTAAGGTTAGTATAAAGTTGAATCATCTATTTTTGAACGGAGGGAGTACTAGTCACTTTCCTTTTTTGCGGGCTAGTCACTTACTTTCTTGTGACGAGAGCCACTTTCTCTTGATTTCGGGTGAGTCGCTTTCGTTAATTAAAAGTGGCCACGTTGATCCGGATCGGCAAGACCACGACAAGCATATACAGTACTAGTATATGCTGTAGTGTCGTTGTTTTCCGTGGGTTGTTGCTCCGCGGTATTTTTGGTGACGAGATCCTCACCGCTCTTGATCACCTGTCGAAGTATCCAACATGTTCTAAGGCTATGGGTTGGTACGTTAACCGGTGTGGTGTATGTTTTGCATGGCCTATCGAGCCATCCC